TATTTTAAGCATTTACATTTTAAATCATACAGCAAAATAAAAGCGGAGTTACAATACAACAATGCAGCAATACTATCTCCCACATTTACCTATATAGAGCTACCTTTTCCATCCTCATTTCTTTGTACGGCTTCGAGCTACCATCTAGCGTCCTTCCATTTCAGACTGGAAAACTCCCTTCAGCATTTTTTATAGGGTAGGTCTACTACTGACAGACTCCTTGAGTTTTTGCTTACCTGGGAATGTCTCCATCTCCAGTGATGGAGATACTTATCTGTAGGCATGTAAAGTGCCTCGCCAAGCCACATGCTGCCATCAGTTTGGGGTTAGGAGACTAGACTCCCCCTTTGGTCCCTGCTGAAGCCATGTCAGCCAGAAGGAAAATACCACCCTAAGCTGTGTGCTGTCACTGGGTGAGGGGCAAGAGACCAGATTCCCCAGTCAGTTTCTGCTCACATCAGAGTGAGGGGCATTCATGGCATTAGCCAAAGGTAGGGCAGGTATTGTCAAAAAGTTTTATATATAGCTTGGCTACCTCTTTCTCAGTCCTTTGGCTAGGGAGTAAAGTTTAGTTGGGGCTTTTTTTTTCTTTTTTCTGCATCTGTTGGCAGTTCTGGGTTGCAGGCTTCTCCACTGACCAGTCCAAGACATAGGTAGATTTTTTTAAAAACCCAGCGAACTCACTGCCATGCTGTTCTTCAAGTCCTGAGTTCCTAGCCAGTCCACTTTCCTCTTTATATCTTTCAACATCTTCTTTCTATCTTCTGTTATATTATGTTCAAGGTTTTTAGTTGTACTTAGCCGGGGGCAGGGAACAGGGAGAGATTAGTCCAAGCCATCTTGTCCTCCACTGTGTCTTACAATGTTTCATGTATACTTGCAGTGAAATTTTTCTTGGACAGAGGAATACAGCACAGAATCAGAGACCTGAAGCACTAGTAGGATCCACCTAACTCTCATCTTCTCATTTCACAGAAGAGGCAGTAAGTAGGTCCATGAGACTAATTTGCTTACTTCCCCGAAGCCAGAGGCTACACAGTAGTATGGCTAAGAATAAGACTACAGAAACACACATTCATATAGTGCTGCACAGCTTAGCTAAAGATAAATTCTGGGCCTAGATATTCTTTCCTTAATCACAGAAATACTAACATACTGTGACTTTCAGCTGACCTACAGCATGCACTGTAGGACAGAACACAGCAACACTTAGAAAGAAAATTTAGGTGGCATCTTAGGTGATGTATGTTTGTAAATTCTCCTCAGAATAATTACTGAGTTTTTCATTTATGAATACATAGAAAAATACCGCTTGACACATACTAAATTTGTATTTGGGGATGAGTGAAAATTAGGATGTTGTACATGCCTTTGGAAGCTCACAGAGACATTTTACCTACACAGCCAATACATTAAGGTGATTTGATGACTAATGTACATTATGTCAGGTCATCTGAATATAACACAGGATCTCAAGATATCTGATGCATACTCACTGAGTTCTAATTTGATAAAGAAAAAAGCCATGAAATTTTAGAAGCAGTGATATTTCTATAGTGTTTATACTTCAAGAATGTTTCTTGCTGTTTTCTTATAGAGATTTGAAAGCTGCCCATGACATAATACTTTATTTTACTCTCATGAAAATGGATTTAGTATATGTTTAAAATGGATTCAGTATGTGTTATACTTTAATCAAATTTACATTTTAAAAATGTATTAGATAACCCTGTAAGAGAGCTACATAATCATCAGTAATGCCAAAAAAAAGAGAACCTAAGAACTCTCAATTTCTTCCAGGGGAACTTACTATTTTGTATCATCAACTAATTAACTTACGGAAAGAATACTTGAAATTATAGACAGGATTTTCTTTTAAAAAGCATAAAGTATAAGCATTTCAGAAGAAGTTCAGGCCTACACACTGCCATTTGAGTTTAAGTGAGCCTGTTTTTCCTCCCAAATCAAATGAAGGTAGCATTTTATAAAAAGATATATATAAGAAATTTGGCTTTGAAATAGAGCAGCATGCCCAGCATATTCCTATTGGGTTCAAAATTGCCTTAGAGACCTGATTCTAGCCAGATGACAAAGTCAGATAAGGCTGAGTGGACTATGGTTTCCTTTTCAAGGCCATCTGTATTCATGGCTAGTCCTTCACAATGTCCACACAGAACTTAAGGAACACAGTGACTATTCCTTCTAGCAAGACCTTTCCGTCATGCCTCTGACCATGACGACATCAGCCATCACAAGAAGCCGAAGACTCCCAGGCCATCTGTCGTACTCTGGATTCTTGTCCCCACAGGGTCTAGGTACATCTCCTAATCTGACCTCATGCCTTCTATACCCCTAAACTTGAGAAAGCCTTCCACTACAAGAACTCATGTCATTCCATCAAAAAAAACCCTATACTCCCAACTTCTTTAAACATTTCTTCTTCTTACCTTAATTCAGTGCTTCTCAATCATGACCGCACTTCAGAAATCCCTGGGGAGCTTTTTAAAACTCTTATGCCCAGGCCTGCCCCCACACCAAAATTTTTGGGGGTGGGACCCAGGCCTCAGAAGGATTAAAATTCCCCAGATGATTCCAATGTGCACAAGGGTGAGCACCGCTGGGCTGACACCCTGCACTCTCCCCTTAGGGACTACTCCTGGGACAGAACTCTCTTGACACAGGCCCCCTTCCACTGCCCCAGCTCTGACACCACCAGACTCAACAGTAAACCTCTCTCCCCTGAACTCTCCAAGCTTTCCAAGTTTCAGTATTACTTGAACACATGGGGACCTCTGTCATGAGTTTCTATACATTTGCTTTTTCTCTATGATAAAGCTCCTAACTTTTCAGCCACCTAAAAAGAAAAGTTGTCTTATTTTCTTTAGACTCATTATATTAGTCATCTCAGCCCTTCCATAAAGCCTTCTTGGTCTCTCTAAGCTTAGAAGCATTGATGAAATGCTTCCTCCATAGAAGCATTGATGAAATGCTTTCACCCTACAATGCAATTTTAACAGTTATTACATTGCTGGTGAGGAGTACATGCCATTATTAAGGTGAGAAGAGTTAGTGGTAAAAATAGGACAATTCTGAGCACATTACAGGGAGTCTCAATTCATCAAATGTGATGCTAATATAAAACTGAAAAGATTACCCTTTGCTACCAAAAAACTCTTTATTAAAGATAATTACACTGAAGCTATGGCTCTATCATAATTGCTACAAGAAATCTGGCATGAGATCAACACTATTAGAGGAACTTAACTATTGAAGTACCAAATATAGACACTTGGCAGAGAACAAGCCACAGGACAAGCACCAACTCTGTAGATGGTATTACACTTAGTTTATATGCAAACAGTAAGCTTTAATTACTAAGGTTAACTATCATTTTAACATTGCTCCACACGAAATAGTTAACTGGAATTGCTTTTTAGTCATTTATGCTATGAATGAGGTTTTTACAAAAAGAATGTGTCACCTCTTCTGAACTGAGCCAAAATATCATGCCCTGGTCCACAGGAAAATATAGGACACAAACCATTTGATTCTTTTTATATTCACTTGGTTCATTTTGATTCTACCTATTGTATGAAAAATAAAATGTTTATTTGAATTTATTCCTTTTCCTAATTCCAGGGCCCCGTTTGTATAACTTAACCCAGATGTTCATATCATACTGATGGCTGGTATAAGTAGGGGCCAACTAAACTGCATTTTATACTGAAAACCTATAGCTCATCTCTCTCACTTGATAAAAGTAGAGATATATGTTTAATGTAGTACCAACGATCTATATATATCTTGGCGCACATACATGCAAATGTACAAATTCTTTTCTCTTGCATACTTAAAATCTGGAAGTACATCACTCATTAGCCACACAGTTTTTTAAATAGTGTGCCTTTGAAGGAATAAAATGTTTTCTTTATTACAATCAAGTCTTGCCCATTTATCAATTTAATAATTGAATATTTTAATCCAAAACTTTTTAATCTTTTCTCAGACTAATAATTACTACTAATCATTATACTACTTTATTCTACCACATTATACACATTATACTAATAATATAGTGATTTTAATTATATCAGGCTTCCTGGTTTCTCCCCTAGGTACTATAGTTTAAGCCCCATAACAAGAAGTTTCTGTAGTTAAGTGTATGTGTGTATGTGTATATATAGATAGATAGTCTATATATACCAAGGAACATTCAAAAAATTTTACAGAAAAGAAGAATTCAGAGTGTTTGAAGTTTTCTGTAATAAAATTTGCTGTGTGAGGTGGCAAAAATGACCTCATGAGAGAGTAAGCAAGAAGGATTAGAAAAACAAGGAAGAAAACACAAGCCGAAAACATAACAATTTGAAATCCCAAGCTAATATACAATAAACATTTTCATTTTCAACTCATCTAGGTACAACTATTGTTTTAAGTCATAAAAATTTAACTTTAATCACAGAGTAGAGAGATGAAGTGACAGATGAAAGAGGTTTGGAAATGTTCTTACTAATACCTTAAGATTGGTGTGTAATAATGTTTCCTAAACACTAAGCCCTCAGGATATTAACAAGTATTTTGTAAATAAAGAGACAAACAATCATAGAAGTTAAGAAATTGCTAGCTTTAACAGAATTGGCCAAGTTTCTTTACTCTAGGACTTCAAAGCCTTTAATGGGCTCATATACAGTGTGACTCTCCCAGAGCAGCAGCCTGCAAATTTGTCTTACCACAGAGACCTATTATATATCTCCTAGAAGACTGTTTTATCAGAAGTAGTTTGAGAAAGGCTAGACTACATAGGTGCCCCATACAGACGGTTGAGTCTCCCCTGGGGCCAATTTAGGAACGTGATACTTCACAAAGACTAAATACAATCACGTGTTTATTACCAAGGACTTCCTCTGTTGAATATGTGTGCCACACTTAGAGTGGACAAAAGGGGCAGAGTGCAGGGAGAGAAGTGGCATAGAGATATGCTGCCGGCATTTCTTACACACCTGTTTCTGCAGTCTGAAATCTCCATGGTCAGGCAGCTGAGATGGAGGCTTGGGCTGAGTGCTGGGCTCACTGTTTACATTGTGATGGGAAATCTGGTAGATAAAGAGGCAGTCTCACTCATCAACAGGGACTTGAGAGTTCCCAGTCCCCCATCAGATACTCGATCACTAAGCCGCAAAGCCGGCCGGAAGCCCACCTCAGCAGCTCAGATAAGGCCTGCTGACAGCAGCAGCACACTTCACAACCAGGAAGTATCTATTGTCACCTGTGCAGCAGCTGAAACATAAGGAGGATGGTCACAAAAGCCCTTTCAAGCAGGTCTTCCACACATTCACCCAGGTGGCTCCCAAGCCCTCGTGTGAAACCAGCAGCTGGTAGATAAGCACCTCCAGAATGCCCACTAACTTCGTTGTGACCAAGTCCAGATTTGCTGTTGGTGCAAATCAGGAGCCTCATCTCATCTAGGTCCTCCTTAGGGGAAGAGAAGTGAATGCCTCAATTGCCAGTGTAACAAACGGATCCCTGTGTTCCTGTATACACAGACACTTGGACTCCAGTGAAGGGAAGGGGAGGGGCCGTTAGGACATGGACCTCGGTTTGGGAGCCGGCTCTACTATTTAGTAGCTATGTCACCTGGGGTGACCTGCTTAACCCCTAGAGTCTTCAATTTCCTCATGTATTAAAAAAAGGGGATATTAGTATATACTTCACAGGGTTTCTGTGAGGATTAAATAATATGCATTGAAAGCACTTAGCAAAATGGTCTGTTGCAGATGCTCTGTGGATAAAGTAAAGGTTCCTGTGGCCAGGATTCTCCCCTGGCCATGGTTGGCTAGCTCACTACACACATGTGGGCAATACATTGTTATTGACTCTATACAAAGAGCTGCCCAGTGCTCTGGGCAACACGGTGGTACTGCTGCAAGAGAGCAGAGATGAGACTGAAGTGGTGGCAGCACTGAGGACGGAGACTGAGATGGCTGCAGGTGTAGAGGGGCCCAGAGGCAGAGACCAGCCTGCTGCCTGCAGACTCACTCTGAGTGGATGGGATTCTAGTGACTGACCTGCCACCGTGGGAATAGAGTTGGGTATAACCCTTTCACCCTAAAAACATTCCACTGTCATTTCTTTGGTCTCACTGAATCCATAGAGAACTTGCCCGTGGCTGAAACCCATTGGCAAGACATGCTTTATAAACAGAGCTAATGATTAACATGAGCAGAAATTATAACAAGGGAAAAAAGGCTTAGGACAGAACTAAAGCTTGGCATTAGATATATTGAAAGAACTCAATAAACACTTGTTGACTGAGTAACTAATATCTCTTAAAGCCAGTGGTGGAGTACTGGAAAAAGGGTTCTCACTTGTTGATTTGTGTGGGTCAGGAAGAACAGGGCTTTGTATTAATTACCTTCAAACTGAAGCAAGAAGCCAATACTTCCTGGTATTTTTGTTTCAAGGTTGAGTGGATGCTAAAGACCATCTAATTCTTTAAAAGAAGGACAAGCTAACGTTAAAAGTGGTTTCAGTGACTCAGTGAGTCCTGAGATGCACTGTATGGAAAGGTATGCTCTGAATCACCCAGAGCAGTAAGGTAGAAATTGGGATTGTTTGAAATTTCCCAACATTTTCTGCCAAAAGTCAGAGAGTATCTTCAAAGATAGAAAGTTTCTTCAGCAGAAATTAATGAGAGGAAGGATCTATAGCACCCTTCACCACACTCCACATTTGCTGCTTGCTTTTCATTTTCAACTCTGCAAAGTTGAAAGGCCATAGTAGTATGTGTAAATAAGGCAGAATAAATTCACAGGTGAAACAGATTTTGGTGACAGGCTCTCCCAACTCCTGCTGTTTCAGCTTATTCCAAAGGAAAATACCAACCTAAAGAAAGCACTACAGATCCAAACAACAGCACTAACTTCATGTTGATGACCATTTATTTTTAGTTTGTGCAGAATTAACACAGCTCCTAAAACACTGATGTAAATATAGGCACCCGGACTTCACATACTATGATAGAAAAATCATGTCCCTGCCCCTGGTTGGAAAGATGCCCTTTCTTCTGCTCCTCTCTGTATGAAAACCACATGCAACCCTCCACAGCCAAGAGTGAACCAGTACACATTTGGTTGCTTATTAAGGAAACTTTCCCTTTTCGAATGAGGTTAGGAACTGACTGGATAAGCAAAAATTCAACCACTTTCTGCTCTCTTTACCCAGATGTCATCTTGGGAATCTAACTGGCCAGTTCTGTGGCGACAGACCCTTGCAAAGGAAGCACAGTGTAGGACAACATCCCTACAACATTTACAGAAATCAACATCTGCCTCCTACCTGGGATGGACAAGGTCTCGGAGGGAGCGCAGGTGGTGGAGGCAACAATCCTGACATAGTAGCTGAAAAGGAAAACACATACTATTAAGAACCACCAAAAACAAAACACCCTTCTACTTCTTAACTAAGCATAGCAACAGCATTTAACATGTTTAAGTTTTTGTTAAAACGTCGTTCAGAATTCATCTGAAGGCTTAATTAAAAAAAAAGAGTACATGCTTTTTCTAATCCCTTTTTCATTTTCATCCTACCCCGCATCCAAGTATTTATATAGGCTGCTGTGATTAAGACTGTGTAGAGCAGTAAGGAGGACACCCTTTGATCAAAGGACTAGAACCCAGCATGGGAAGGCAGTCAATCCCTCATTACTGTGATGTTAATTTTTAATAGTTTCAAATAATCTAGGCCCTTTGGCTTCTCTTCTATTTCCCCCTGGCTCTTGGCCATTACACTGCTCGTTAGCTCAGCCAGTACAGCCCAGAAACCAAGGGAGCCTGAATTCCACTGCCTTCTAAGGATGGGTCTGACTGCTGGAAGGGAGGCTGAAAATGATGGAATGAAATGATATTTAGGGATTCTTCGAAGAGCTCAATTTCCTTCTCTCTGCTGGATCCTTACTAATATGAGGCATCTTTTGAAAGTAAGTTTTGGTCTCATATTTTTTTAATTTTGTGAGATATAGAGAAAATTTGAGTTAAGCCAAGAACATCTGAATTGTAACTTAACAATGAAAATAAGTATCTGCTATTGAATTATAAAACTCATAATCACATACAAGAAATAAGTTTATTATCACACACTGGCAAGCTAAACCACATTCTTTACAAACTCCTTAGAAAAGCACACCATACTCTATAAAACTATACATAGTGTTTATTTGCAGTTCTGTAATATGTGTGCTAATATTTGGACAATTTTCTCTGCCTTAAAAATAAACCATAGCAATGTGCCAAAAACATAAAAGTTTTTGCAAATCACCTTTAATTTGACTTAGCCAAATCAGACAAGCTAGAAAACGGAGTTCAGGGCTTTCCACAAAGTTAACTCAGAGTAATTTCGTAGAGACTTTCATTCTGAGCCAGTACACGGATATGGCACAATGATGTAGGCCAATCAGTGATTTCTTTCAATATGTCTTTCATTAAAATCTATGAAACACGAGTGGGTCAAAACTCCAGAGGTGGTGAGATAACAAAGCATGTAGCTGCAGAGAATGACAAAAGCCTCAGCAATTCTCCACCTCAGGTCCCTACTCCACAGGTCCTCACAGATTGGGCCTTTAAATTACCAACTACTTTAAAAACAAAATTTTTAAAAATCTATACATGCTTTTAAGGAAAAGGCCTTGCACTAGAACAAAGTTTAAGTTAAAATAAACTCTTTATTAACAAAAGAAGACTAAGAGCTGATAAGCCACTTAATTAAACTGACTTCTGCTGCCAGCCAAGAGGGAAAAAGAGACCAGATTTACCCTTCCATCTGAAGCAGCCAAAAACAAACACATGCTTTTTATATGAAACAACAGTTTAAGACACTAAAACAAAACATATAAAACAACAGTTTTCAAGATACTAGAAAATCACGCAACTAAAGACAGTGACCCCAGAGAGACAGGAATCAAACAAGGTGAGCCATGTGTCTGCCTGTTCTGTTTATTGCCCAGTTACTCAAAACAAGACCTGCATCAACTTGTGTCTGATTAACTTCATTTTTACCATTATGTCATTTTTAAAAAACAAATGCACTGTTTTTGTAAAAGATGATCTGAGGGTCTGTTTGTGAAATATACTTTTGGATAAAATTTTATCACCTACAACTATTAACGGTTTTGTTTCCTCTTTTCAGTACCTTTACTTCTGTTTTGAATCTTACTTACCTAGCTAGAACATGCACTATAAAGTTGAATGATAGTAGTGATATGGGCATTCTTCTCTTGATCTCAAAGGTAAGGCTCTCACTACTCCACTACTAAGTATGCTATTTGCTTTAGGTTTGTTGTTGATGCCTTCTAATAGATTATGAAAACTCCCCTCTGTTCTTGAGATATTTTTATGATAATCTGTTTTTGAATGTTAACCAAGCTGCATCTGTATCCATTCAGATGATGGTATGACTTCTTCCTTATAATTTAATAGGACAAATTACATTATGAACTTTTAATATTAAAATACCCTTGCTAACCTAGGTTAATCCAACTTGGTCAGGTTTTTATGTCTGCTAAGGTTTAGTTGGCCAGTATTTTGTTTAGTATTTTTGCAACTATATTCATGAATGAGACTGACAGGTGAGTTTCCTTTCTCATACGGTCCTCTGTTGTGCTTGATTCAGCTGGAGACTGCTTCCCATCTATCCTCTGGAATAGGCAGTGTAAGATCAGAAATTTTTGTTGTTTTTCTGTCAGGTAAAATGACAGCAGAACCATTTTGCCCTGGAGTTTTAACACAAGATTTTTAATCATTTCTTTAACTGTTACAGGATTACTGACTTTCTAATTCTTTTTTTTTTGGTATCATTAATCTACAATTACATGAGGAATATTATGTTTACTAGACTCCCCCCATCACCAAGTCCCCCCCACATACCCCATTACAGTCACTGTCCATCAGCGTAGTAAGATGCTATAGAATCACTACTTGTCTTCTCTGTGTTGTACAACCCTCCTTGTGCCCCCCCTACATTATGTCTAATTGTAATGCCTCCTTTTTCTCCCCCTTATCCCTCCGTTCCCACCCATCTTCCCCAGTCCCTTTCCCTTTGGTAACTGTTAGTCCATTCTTGGGTTCTGTGAGTCTGCTGCTGTTTTGTTCCTTCAGTTTTTTTCTTTGTTCTTATACTCCACAGATGAGTGAAATCATTTGATACTTGTCTTTTTCCACCCAGCTTATTTCACTGAGCATAGTACCCTCTAGCTCCATCCATGTTGTTGCAAATGGTAGGATTTGTTTTCTTCTTATGGCTAAATAATATTCCATTGTGTATATGTACCACATCTTCTTTATCCATTCGTCTACTCATGGACACTTATGTTGCTTCCATTTCTTGGCTATTGTAAATAGTGCTGTGATAAACATAGGGGTGCATCTGTCTTTTTCAAACTGGGCTGCTGCATTCTTAGGGTAAATTTCTAGAAGTGGGATTCCTGGGTCAAATGGTATTTCTATTTTGAGCATTTTGAGGAACCTCCATACTGCTTTCTACAATGGGTGAACTAATTTACATTCCCAGCAGCAGTGTAGGAGGGTTCCCCTTTCTCTACAACCTCACCAACATTTGTTGTTTGTCTTTTGGATGGTGGCGATCCTTACTGGTGTGAGGTGATATCTCATTGTGGTTTTAATTTGCATTTCTCTGATGACTAGCAATGTGGAGCATCTTTTCATGTGTCTGTTGGCCATCTGAATTTTTTCTTTGGAGAAGTGTCTGTTCAGATCCTGTGCCCATTTTTTAATTGGACTATTTGATTATTGTTTGTTGAGATGTGTGAGCTCTTTATATATTTTGGATGTCAACCCATTATCGGATCCGTCAGACTTTCTAATTCTTAAGTCAGTTTTGGTAAATTACATTTGACATATTTCATTTTAACTAATTTTCACATTTATTGTGATAAAGGTATTCATACTCCCCTCTTATCATCTTAATCTCTGCATATCTAATTTCTTCTTATCATTCCTAATAACGTTTGTGTGATTACTCTAGTCTTCATTAATCTCCCCTGACATTTGTCAGTTTTATTACTCTTCAAAATAACTTTTTGAACCTCTGTGCTGCATGCTTGCATTCTCTTTCATTAATGTCTGTTCATCTCCTTCCATTTACCTTCTCTGGGCTTATTCCACTGTTCTCTTTCTTGCTTAAACTGGTTGCTTAGCTCATTAATTTCCAGCTTTTCGTTGTTTCTGATATAAGCATATAGCACTATAAGTTTTCTTCCAAGTGTCTCTTTCTAGAGAATTTCATAGGTTTTGCTGTGACATTATTCAGTGTTTAAATTTTGCTAATTTCTATTACAATTCTTTTTAATGTTAACTTCTGCCTAAAGTTTATGCTTTATTGAGAGTCTATTAATAGCAAGCTTAGTCAGTTTCTGTGACTGCAAAGCCTTCATTTTGCACTCATTCTTGAAAGATGATTTCATTAGGTATAGATTCTAGGTTGACAGCTATTTTCTCCCAGCACATTGAAAACAACATTTCACTGTCTTCTGGATTCCATTATTGCTGTTGAGAAGTCACAAGCCAATAGAATCACCATTTTTCAGTAGGTAGTCTTGTCTTCTCTGATTGTTTTTAAGATCTTCTCTTTGTTTTTGGTACTCTGCAGTACCAAACTTTACCCTGTGTCGGCATGTGTATTTCCTCACCTGCATTTTCTTCCAAAACCTGCTGAACTCCATTGGAATTTGAACCATGTGGCATCCCATTAACTTCAGGAAATTCTCAGTGTTTCTTCAAATATTCTTTCCACCATTTTCTCTCATCTCTCCCTCTGGAGATCTTTGTCTAATGGTGCTTTGTTCTGGATAGTTTTCTAAGATCTATGTCCAATTACCTAATTCCCTTTTCAACTGTACTTAATGTCCTGTTAATGTACACTACAGTCAAGTTTATCTCAATTACTAAATTTTTCATTTCTACAGGTTCTATTCGATCTTTTATCAAAATGACTTTTATCCTTTGGTAATTTTTTGACTAGTATTTACTTTCTTCATCTCCTTTTCTTTCAACATATTAAACATATTTAGGTAACACTCTGTGTCTGGTAATCCCCAAATCTGAGGGCTTTGTATTTCCTACCACTTTGTGGCTTCAGTTGGGTCTCTCACTGCATTCCATTTCCTACAGTGCCAGCAACTTTTACTCTGAGCACATATTCCTTGGAATTTTACATGTACAAATACTTTGGGGCCTGGGTAGAAATTGGATTCTCCTCTATTACTTCTGCCAGAAACCTGAAGGTACTATCAACCTGGGACCACTTTAAACTTAAAATCTTCACTGATACTGCATAGATTTTTAGTTTTTGCTTTCCTTACATTTTTGTTAAACATCCTATATAGTAAGACTTCTAAGCATAGACAATAGTTTGAATATTACCAACTAATCTCACTCTTACCTCATTAAAACCACAGTGAAGAGAACTTCCTTAAATTGTTTCAATTTAGAACTGGGAAAATAGATGAGTAACTGACAAATGAATGAGCAGTAGAGAAAGCAGAAGGTAACCATTTGCATGACAGAAGTTCCCCACTTTTCAAGAATTAGAGACATCAAACTCCTCTGGAAGTAGGGACAAAATGAGGAAAGCAATAAAAAGTAAAGAAAATGAACTGACAGGGGATCCTATTTCCTACCCTGTAGGAGAAGGGCATACCTCAACAAGATCCTTGAAGATCTGGTTCCAGCTACACTTCACACTGTTTTTGGCTTCACAATCCCTGCTGCTGTGGTCCCCTCTGCCATAGCGGCCATGCCCTACCCTACTTCACCTAGGTAACTCAGAATATAATAAGTGACCAGCAAATATTTGAATTAGCATTAGAAAGAACTATAGGATTAGGCTCCACCCCCACATATGAAATTTCTTTAAAAGACTGAATAAAGCAGTTTAGGAGAAGTTAGGTACTGAGGGCTTCCTCTCCCACATTCTGCACAGTTTCAGCATGTTTCATATGTTAGCAAAAGGCTAGAAGTATTTTTCTTCTCCAGGGAGGACACCAGACCCAGATGAAGGCATGGGGGCCATATTGAAAATGGAGAAATTCAGTACATGTATGTACTCTACATGATGAGACTCTTCTAACCTTCTCCCTCTCTGCTCCCAGACTTCCATCCAGAGATTGGAAGAATTGCTCCAGGGAAATGGACCAGCCAAGAAGGAAGATCCAGATATCATATCAAGAGATTGCCAACAAGATGATGGCCCAACCAGATCATTCTACCATGAAGCCCACAGATGGTAAGCCACATGCATTTGTCCCTATATTCCAGTCAGCTTTTTAACCCCCATTCTTAAATATAAGCAGATGATGAAGTATTAGCAGATAACTGCACAAAAATTTCTAACCTGAGATACAGCAATAAAAACAGAAAAAAGTAACATTAAAGAAACAGATTCGATGTATACTAGCAGAAAATTATTAAATGCATATTATTAATATCATCAAAATGATCATTCAATTTATTCCAAAAATATTCAAACATTTACTATATAGGCCGGGCACTACTTGAGGCACTGTAAAAATATCAGTGAAAATTTTCAATACAGGAAAAAAAGCTCTACACTCATGAAGCTTCTATTCTATTGAAAAGACAGATAAAGAGGTGGGAATGAGGAATAAAATCTTTAATAGAGTCATCAGAGAAAGCCTCATTAAGAGATAAGGAGATGCTATTTGTAAAGAAGAAATAATGGGATGCTGTCGAACAACAATCAATGAAAAAATTAAAAAGAGCACCAGGAAATTAAAAACATGATAGCAGGAAGGGAAAGCTTACTAGAAAGGTTCAAAAGACAATCGGAGTTAATCTTAAAGCAAGCAGGGGAATTGGAAATAGAAAGTTCCACTAAAAGAAAGAAAGAAAGTAGCAAGAACAAATCAATTAAATAGTTCAAAAAAATTTCCCAGAAATGAATACTATGAGTTGCTAAATTAAAAGAGCCCACTGAGTACTTAAGACAACGGAAGGAAACAGACCCATGGCAAACCACATCAATATGAAATTCAAAATACTGGAGTTAGAAGACTCTACAAGTTTCCAGCAGTGGGTAGGAGAGGAGGGAAGGCCATGTACAAAAGATCAGGAATCCAAAAGGTTTTGGACTTCTTACCATGCCAATGGAAGCTTGAATTCATTGGAGCAATGTCATCAAAATTCTGAAGAAAATTTATTTCCAACCGATGATTATATACCCAACCTAACAGCGTGCACAGTGACTCAGTTAAAGATATTTTTAGACATTCAGGGACTCTAACTGAGCTCCATGCACCCTTTCCAAGAAAGCTAGTCAAGGATGTGCTCTACCAAAACAAGAGAGTAAACCAAAAAAGAACAAGACATGGGATAAAGGACAAAGCAAGTCCAACCTGGGAGAAAGAGGAAAAAAATCCTTGGATGACAGCATAGGGAGATGCCATGATGAAAACTATGTACCAGCCATAGAAGACAATCACTTCAGATTTCTTCAAAACAATGAAACTAGTACCTAATGGTCAGAATTTCATAAGAGGAGCTTTAGAAAATTGAGGGAGCCTACAGTTGGTTCAGGGGCAAGAACACTGAAAAGAAACAAGTGGATTATTCCCTCCAAGGCAAACAAAAATCTCTGCAAGCAACACAAGGAAATAACTATTAGCTTATATAGTCATAATAATAATATAAACACTAAATATTAGTCTAACTAAAATTATAACTATACTGGAAGAGTAAAAGAAGGGAAAAGTGTGCTCGCTTCAGCAACACATATACTAAAATTGGAATAATACAGAGAAGATTAACATGGCCCCTGAGCAAGGATGACACGCAAATTCATGAAGCGTTCCATTTAAAAAAAAAAAAAGGAAAAGTGCTAGGGGAGTGAAGACAGTAGATGATGAGTAAAACTGAAAAGTCAACAGAAGGCTATAAATATATGTTATTTTGAAGTATGAAGGAAATATGAAAATAATCAACAAAAAAATCATGTCTCAGAGTGTATTCTCCCAAGTCTTAAGGTATATCAATAGCCTTGGAGGAACTTCCCAGACTTTAGTTCGTCCCCTTAGTTCAACATGGAGCCCTAGGCCTTCCCCTCGACCGTATCAGGATATCAACTGTGATTATTCACTTTTTCAGCTTCTTCCCTCTCTTTCCAAAAGTAATGTCCACTGGTCTTCAGTCAAGAGAAGGGAAAACTGATTTCACTTCCCTCCAGATGTGGAATATCAGAAAGAATCCTCAAGAGTTGCCCACTCACACTCACAGCTTCTGGAGGGAGGCAAGCAGAGTCAAGAGTGCACCGAAAGCCTCAGTTTTTCCCTCAGTGGCCACGCTTTAAAATAAAAGCCTGAATAGAAATACCATTTGACCCAGGAATTCCACTCCTAGGAATTTACCCTAAGAATGCAGCAGCCCAGTTTGAAAGAGACATATGCACCCCTATGTTTATTGCAGCACTATTTACAATAGCCAAGAAATGGAAGCAACCTAAGTGTCCATCAGTAGATGAATGGATAAAGAGGATGTGGTACATATACACAATGGAATATTATTCAGTCATAAGAAGAAAACAAATCCTACCATTTGTAACAACATGGATGGAGCTAGAGGGGATTATGCTCAGTGAAATAAGCCAGGCAGAGAAAGACAAGTACCAAATGATTTCACTCATCTGTGGAGTATAAGAACAAAGAAAAAACTGAAGGAGCAAAACAGCATCAGACTCACAGAACCCAAAAATGGACTAACAGTTACCAAAGGGAAAGGGACTGGGGAGGATGGGTCGGAAGGGAGGGATAAGGGGGGGAAAGGGGGCATTACTATTAGCAGACATAATGCAGGGGGTGGGCACGGGGAGGGTTGTACAACACAGAGAAGATAAGTAGTGATTCTACAGCATCTTACTATACTTATGACAGTGACTGTAATTGGGTATGTGGGGGGTACTTGGTGATGGGGGTAGTCTGGTAAACATAATGTTCCTCATATAACTGTAGATTAATTATACCAAAATTTAAAAAAAGAAAAGAAAAGCCTGTACTAGCTCATGCATCTTTCCTTGTTTGGTTGCTGCTGAAAAATCTCTTCCATGTGTTTATGTTTCTATGTTCATTTCTGTTAATGGCCAGAGATATTAATATAACTTTATTCTACCAACTTTATGTCTAATTCATGTTTTTGTCCCCCACTGACCCTAAACACACTGCCTTGTGTTTCATAAGAACTCACATACTCCATTTATGACCTTAAATTGGATTCAAATGTTATCCAGCATGCTCTGATAATAAGTATTTTTTAAAAAGAAAAAGTATATCTTCATGCCAAGTGAAACTGAGAAATTATGTTGGATGAATAATCTAGTGTATATATGCAAAAGATGGCAACATACCTGTTAATAGTAACACCTGCTTTCCCAGGAGGGAAGAGGACAGAAGAGAGGGGAGAAGACTTTTTTCTGCATACATTAAAAGCTACCATACTCGTAAAGCAACTGCAGGTATATTCCTAAAGTCTTACAGTTAATAAGGTGAAATACCAAGTATCAACAAGACTGTCAAATCAAAAAACTTTTGTAAGTGCAATCAAGGAAATTAATAAATATCCAAATACTGAAAAACAGATTAAAAAGCTCATCAAAGAAACTTTGATTTAATCCTAAACTTGGAAAATACAGTAATAATTTCAGTTGTTTAAACTTATTGAAAGATGAACATTTTCTGACACTGATCCACTGAATCTCAGCTTGTTGGTATCTTCATCCAAAACTCTAACTTCTAAAATTTTTTATCCTCATAGTTCATTATGCTTAGAAATTTCCAGACAAAAAAATTATTCATAGATAATTGTCTATTTACTAATTTCCTTCAGATTTTTACAAAGCTCCAAATCAATGCCTAAATGAAAACATGTTCCAACTTACGGAGTGGAAATAAAGCAGCAGATGTGGCAATTGAAAGCTTTAAGGAACAGAAAACCAATTCTTCAGGGAAGTGAAACTTGGAATAACTTCAGCTGTGGAAAAGGGCTCCTATCCCCCCAAACTAGGAATATTTTATGAAGAAAACAAAAGCATTCAAATGCCAAAGAAAAAAGAACACTTAAAGGGCGGAAAATGTTGAAAGAGCCTGCCAGTGGGACCTTTACCTTTAAGCATCAATCAAGTAGAGAGTTAGCCATATGCAAAGCTTCAGGAAATTATCAGTAAGGACCATTCCTCTTCTCAGCAGGTTCATAAAAATGGCTATTTCTTTGTAATAGAAAATGTTCTTTCTCTCCGTTCTAATCACCAAAGCATGTGTAAGCCTATGCCTATCCCCACATCTCCTAGTTACATACAGTGATGGGTTCCTCTTTATATGATGAAATGTTTGCCAAGGAGTACCCTTCCAATGATACCTGCCTTGATCCCCTGATGATGGCTCTCTTACCCAAAAAAACAAGCTCATTAAATTCTCTGTTAAATGGATCAATTTTTTCCCCCACTGGTTAAAAGAGAAGAACTTACACATGCCTTGGAATTGTTCAACAGGAAAATATTAATGACTTCATTTGGAAAAGTAATGAAATAAAATTCAATTATTTCACTGTGCATATGAGAAAATTAAAGCCAGGAGAAGTAAAATGACATCACCAAGGTCACAAGGCTACTATGATGCAGCAATCAGTATCACATTTGAAACCTACAGGACAGGTATGGTACAGGGCAGAAAAGGGCACTGAGATGGCAAAAAGCAGCTGGAAGGGGTTATTCTATACCCAGGGAGCAAGTATGTCAGAAGACTGCAAAGCAAGAACATATTACAACTTCAAGGAACTAAAAGGATGCTTCTGAATGTGCTACATACCACAAAGTCAGATAAATAAGATCCTAGACACTATCTAAAAATGTGCCATTGTAGCAAGTATTTAGCCTTCTGAGTTACGTGATCACCTCTTCAAAAGACTATATATGACTCCCCTGCTTTAAAAAACATTCAGTGTAGTACTGGCCTAAGGACATATAGATCAATTGCCTATAAAAAAAATAAGGTGTGCTCCCAAAATTAAATTACTATAGATTGTTTTCTCTGACATCAAATCTGCTGCAACAAAGTTTTTCCATCTTCAAAGGATTCTGGTGGAAAACAAAGGAATTACATTCTCTGGACCCCAGTCTCCTCACCTGTAATATGTGAGAGTTCACCAAGATGACATTTAAGTTCCCTTTCAGCACTGACACTCCATGATTCTAGCATTTATTTGACAGTGTTCACCAGTATA